GTTCTGAATTGAGCGGACCACAGGAAGAGGCAGAACAAAGACCAGCAGACTGTTCTTTTGCGTTCCGTGTCGTTCTAACACTCAGACACCAATTAAGGCGTCGGGAAGCAGCTCTGGAGGAGGAGGAGGATGAAAACGAATCCTCGGCGAGGACAGACGGAGAGGTCGTTAGCGAGGATTGCATCGCCGTGGCGACGCGGCTAATTGGCTTCCACTCCGTCTTCCTCCCCCGTCGCTTCTCTCCGCCTCCCTCCTTCCCGCCGCTCGGCTGTCTGATGTGTATTAATGGCTGCCGGCGACGGAGGCCACCAGGCAGCGACGCATTCATCCGGCTGCTTAGCATTCAGGCAGCAGCTGCTTAAAGCAACACGTCCAGGCTGAGCGTTAATCCGTCCAGCGCCAGAATCAACGGCAGCTGCAGCAGCACAACGCCGCTTCTCTAATCCTTCTTCTGTTTACGGAAAATGTAGAATTTAGCCTCAACCGGCGTCTCATCAATCACAGACTGCAGTCCTTCGACAGAATAAATAAAAATGCTGCTGTGAATTTAATGATCTCATGCGTTCGTCTGAACGGTAGACATGAAGCAACCACATGTGATTTATCTGAACACTTACTGAAACTGAGTGTGTGTGTGGTACAGTTATGTGTATCGGTGCACTTAATTGATTATTGGTGCATATTTTATATTAAATCCATTTATTATATGTAGGAACATGTAATATTGTGAATCACAGGGTGATCAGGGGAGTTCATAAGTTTATATTTCTTCCTGCTTCTTTTTGAACTCATTCATTCATTCATTCAGTCATTCGCTCATTTAACAGTGACTTGAACAGAAACCATGAACAGCAATTAGAAAAATATCCGATTAAATAAGAGATACGGCATGAAATGAAAACAGCGTTGTTGAATCAAAATAAACAGATATAATAGAAAAGTAAGATCAGATTACACTGAATATTAAAATGTGTTGCGCATGAATTTAAGTAGTGACATAAAAGACATTGAAGAAAGACGCTGAGAAATAAGAAGCACCGTGAGATAAAACTATGAAATATAAATAAATAGACGTGAAATTTTAAAGTAAAACAAGTCACATTAATGAGGAGAAATAAATGTTAACTGGGAAAACATTTTATAAAACAATGACAAATAAATATTTACCAGTCCAATAAAAACGTGTTATAAAATGTAATAAAAACAACAGTGACTTTAAATGACTTCCTGTTTCCTGTTTCCTGTTTCCTTCAGCCCCAGAAACTGGCTGCTGCTCGCCGACGTCCTCGGTCGCCTTCGGATGACGTCTCGGTCTTTCCGCCGCCTCTTCCCGCAGCTCAACATTCAGTCGGTTCCGGAGGACGAGTTCTACCGGCAGGCGTCGCTGTCGCAGCTGCTGACGGGTCCCGACGAGCAGCAGCTGACCTGCTTCAGGCCCGAAGTCCGCGACCCGCTGGAGCTGGTGGAGGCGACGCCGGAGCTGGCCGGGATGCTCGGCTCGTCCCTGGAGTTCGTGGACAGTCGCTGGGACTCACTGGAAGCTTCGCCACCTCCAACGCCGCCGCCACCGCCGCTGCAGCGTAGCCCAGCACCGTCAGCAGCGCCACAGGCAGCCCAAGCTAAAGTGGACCCTGCGGTGCTGAACCGGACTGCAGAGTCTGGACTCAGACATCAGGGATTTTCATCTCTCGCAGCTCAGCTGGAAACTAGCTCAGACGCCAGCATGTGGGGAAAAACACTAGCAGGTAAAAACGGCGCCGTTCCCTCACTGGCAAAACCCAACGTGACCATGAATGTGAGCATGTGGGAACCGCAAGGACCGCGCAAGAATCCTGGGATCACTGATTCTGCTGATCTCGACTCAAAAATGGACTCAACCGTGTGGCAGAATCAGAAGAAAACCGACGCTGCTGCAGGCGTGTGGGAACAACAGCGGCTACCAAGTGGCAATTCTAACACCAAAGTGGACGCTGCCGCATCAGAACCACCACGGCTTCGGAATATGAACTCAGAAAATCCAAACAGTGCAGCCGATGCTAACATGTTCAAACAACAAAATCAAGGCACTAAGAATGGCCGGCCTTTAGCGTCTACACACGCATCGGTTGATTGTAGCGTCTTACTGCGACGTAAGATCGCTGTGACCTCCAGCGCGGCGAAGACGGACGTTAACACGTGGGAACATCAGGGAATAAAGACGAGCAACAGCACAGCGCCCAAAAGACAAGCTAGTTCCTGCGATACCCGAGAACAAGGATGTAAGAGCCTAAAGGTGGACGCTGCCTGGCAGAGGAACATGGCCGACGTCAGAGTCCACATCAGGGACTTGGGCTGGAAGGTCGGCGGCGTCCGGACAGACGTGAAGAAGGAGGTGGGAAAAGTGAAGTCGGCCAGAGTCAAAAGCAGGTCATGAGACGCCAGAAACAACACGTGATGAATGCTGTGGACTGCTGGCGTCCAAACAGTCGTAAATGCTGTAAAGAGAACCAGACAGAACCGAACTGCATTGTGTGTTATACGTACACTGTAAATATTCTTTTTTATTTATGATGAACCCTTCTCTGTAAAAACATGTAAATTCATTCCTGTTGACGTCGTAGCTTCTGTTCTCGGAGGTTGTTTGTTACCTTTGTGTGTAATTTTGTATTCAGCATCCTGTTGGCTTTGGTCACCGTCCAATAAAGAAGAAGAACGAGGAGAACATGACTGAATCTCTGTCTGCATTGCACACATTAGCATATTAGCATTTCAGCTCGTTAGCCTGGCTAGCAGCTACCATATTAAAGAGTTACAGCTAACTGGTTAGCAAAGTAGCCACTTAATCACAGCTATCTTGGGCGCCGCTACAGCTCACCTGGTTGAGCTGGCAACCCATGAACAGGGCCTGTAGTCATGGGTTTGAATCCAGCCCATTCTTCTCCCCTCTTTCCTGTCTCTCTCTCTGCTGTCCTGTCAAATGGCTCCACACTGGTTATATTCTGGTTTCAGGCTGGTTCCTCACTGGTTCCAGACTGGTTTTATTCTTGTTTCAGACTGGTTCCAGACTGTTCTTTTGGATCTTCTTGAGCTGGTTGTTTGCTGGTCTTCGGCGTATCAGGAATGTTGAGATTTTGTTGGTTTTGCGCATCGTTTTAGGCTGTTTCACACTCGGTTCTGTGCTGGTTTTTAGTGTATTCTGTCTGATCAGTTCTTTAGAATTTGATGTCAGATCTAATAAGCTGCAGTTAAACTTTGAATTTAGACCGGGTTTGGACTCGTTACCTGAGTGTGACATTGCTTTGGTTTTGACTGGTTTTGACTGGTTCTGGACTCATTTTGTGACTGTTACATTACTTTGGTTGCAGATTCATTTTTGAGTTGTTTTGGTCTTTGTGTTGACCATGGTTTGGACTGGGTTTGGACTGGTTCTGTACTTGTTTACTGACTGTTCAGTTGGTTTGGTTTCAGATCCAGTTTTGGACTTTGTTTTGAACTGGCTCTGGAATAGTTTTTTGACTGTTCCTTTTGTTTTGGTTACAGACTCAATCTTGGACTGGTTTTAGACTGGTTTAGAACTAGCTCTGAACTGGTTTTCTGACACTTCCCTTTGTTAAGGTATAAGACTCGGTTTTGGACTGGTTTGGATTGGTTCTGGACTAGTTTTGGACTGGTTATAGACTGGTTTTGGACTGGGTCTGGATTTGTTTTCTGACTGTTGTGTTGGTCTGGTACCAGACTCAGTTCTGGACCGTCGTCACATTGGCTGTGTTTCTTTAGGAGATTTATTCGTGTTATCCATCTGGTTGTGATTGGCCGGGAAGCGTCTTCACAAAGATAGGACCATGAACAGGAGGCTCCCTGCTCTCAAAAAACCTGGACAAAGTATTTCCTCGGATGTGAAAGAGTTCATTCATGCTGGAAGCTTCCCCTCGGCGGCAGAGACCAGGTGACATACTTGTCATTCTGTTGGTTCTTCTCTGTTGCTGAGTCACAACCAGCCTTATAGGTGGTGTC